TCTTTACATTACTGTTCTTGTTTATGCTTTCCTGCTTTACATACTCGGTACTTTATTCGTACTAACATCACTTTTGCCTGGGATGCTACGTGTCATGCCCGCAGGTCCCGATTGATAGGTTGACGGTCCTCCTAGTAGGCTATCAGCTCAGCGAAGGTATTGGTGCACTCCACTTGCTCCGGAGTTGCCTAGTTGGTCAGTATNNTTTACAGGGTAAGTGATAATATTTACACGAACTACAATAATGAACAATTCCATAAGAACCCCCAAAACGTGGTATCACAAGTGCATGAGCATCTATTAATGAGTACAACAATGATACAACATCTATTTGAAATACAAGTTAGACAGGGAATATAAATAACTCTGATGGAGACTCTGCATACTGCAGATTGTATCAAGGAAGTGCAACTCACTGTAAAGTCTCCGCAACAATTGCACCTCTGCACCCAGGGGACAACCAAAAACATATATGTATACCTGCACAATCACTACAACAAAAAAGGGATTTAGCGGCAATAAGAAAGGCCATTAGCGGCAATAACAATTGTCGCTATATCCTTTACTGGCCATTGTTAATTAGCCGCTGATGTCGGGGTCGGTAAAGCCTTTAGCGGCGATTGTTACAAATGCTAGTAAACGGTATAAATTATTGCCGTTAAAAACTATAAGCTTTAACAGCAATTGTTTGCGGCAATTATGATGGCTGCTAAACCCAATCCAAAACGGCTAATTATACTCCTTTAGCATCAATTTATATAGCCGCTAAATTTAAAATAATTACCGCTAAAAGTTCATATGTCTAACGGCATCTGTGTTGTGGCAATTAGAATGGTTGTAGTATCCCTTCTGAAAACATCTTAGTTTTTCCTTTCAGCGTCCATTTTTGTGGCTAATATATTAAACTAAATTGCCACTAAAAGTCATATTTTTAACCATAATTATTTTTCGACAATTATAATGGCTACAATATCCCTTATGGAACTATCCTAATTTTCCCTTTTATCGTCCAATTTTATAGCCAGTATATCCAATTAAATTAGCGCAAAAATTCACAATCTATAATAGCAATAGTTTAGCCACCATTAATAATAGTTACGAAATTCGTCCAAAATATGATCCTAACAACAAAATATATTAATATTAATCCAAAAAATATAATATATCTCATTAAATCTTAACAAATAAAAGTAAGTACTAATCAAAAATATTAATGTCATAATAACTTAAAAAATCAACTAATATTGTCTAAACTATTTAGCTAATGTCATTAAAAGAAATCCTGACGAATGATAGTCTTCAAATAATTTCCACAACTTTTCATTATATTGAAATCTTCCACCCACAAAAATATCGAACATCAGACTGTATGACCTGAAATTATAAATTAACTATATCAAAAGATAAAATATAATGTGAAAAAATATCTTGAAGACTCCATCACTGTCAGATTGTTTTTCACCCAACTCACTCACCTAACATTTATAAGCAAAAACAACTAGATGGATTAGTAGGCGAGCAAAATGGATGTGCAAATAATGAAGAAAGTTTCTTTCTTTGTATGACAGAGAAGAAACAAAAAATATCAAAAGCAGAGTATTAACTTGGAGAATTAAAAAGAACTTTTATATGTTTTCTATATCTTCTTGGTACATTTTTAGTGAAATTTACATTAACTTATCGGAAAAGGATATTTACCAGCATCTAGTCTCAAGAAATGCAAATGTTTTGTGCAATTGTTGGAGGTTCAAACTTACCCAACAAAGACTCAACACACAGAAAGGTTTTATTAAATCAACTCACACATTTCATAACTCACTATGCATCTAGAAAGAAACATAAATCAGATAATCAATATTTAAACATTCTATTTAACTTTCTTAACATCTATGGAACTAAAAGAAAAGTCACAATTATCTTTATATTTATTTGAATAACTAAAATCGCCAAGGAATAGTGGCACAAGATTCAAAATAGAGTATGCAATGTTAATATAAAAATCAGAAGTTAGATACCATCTATTTATAATTCCAAAGACAGAAGATTACCAAGCAATTTACAAACCTTAGCTTGGATAGAAGCAATGGCCAAGCTGTCATAGAAAGTAACAAACCGAACCTATGTTACTGTAATGCAACACAAGACATGGCAAGAGGAAAAAACAAAGATCCTCTTAAATCACTTGAAGAGATGACATCGGCTTGCTTCTTAAAGCCATTCATCCCATCACTAACAACAGAAAGGAAAACTCGTTAGGAATTATCACTTATTAAATTTACAACTCTACGCCAACATATCAGTCATTGCAACTGTAGGTGGCTCTTGTGCAGTCGTTCCCATCTCTAGTGCTAGAGTTATGGGTGCTGCTTGTTGTAAATGGCTGAAGTTGTGATTAACTTTCAGGTTTAAGGCTATAGGTTTGTCAACCATCCGAAGAATTCAAGAAGACAAATATGAATTGATTTAAAGACATAAAATGATGTCAATTTAACAGAATAAATAAATATTTTTTCACTATGTGTACATAAGAAGGATATAATAATATTACACATAATCACAATCTGGAAAAATATTATTTTTAAAATGATTCATTACTATCACAACCTTACGACATCAACAACAGTGAAAAAAGAAAATATATAAAAGCAAGAAGCATCTAAGGTAAGCCGAAATACTAGAACAAATTAATAAAAAAAGAAAACTCAAACAGTAGCACCGAAGGATAAAGATGGGTAGTACCATGAGAAGGTTGGGTATTTTCAACAACACTAGGTATCCTTGATGTTTGTGGTACTCAATCATGTCCGTTGTTGGTGTCAGGGATCTTATAAATAAAATTGAATGATAAGGCTACATACTATTGCATTAGCTAGCTGCTTACTTATAATTGGGATGGTATGGTAAAAGATCATGTAGAACTACTTCTTCGGTGATTGATGGTCTAATTTTTTTACTGAGTAATTTCACATGCGACTTTCAACTAGTTAAAGAGAACTGTACTAAAGCAATTTCACTTGATAAAAAGATATCAGGAGAAATTTAATTTCTGAAAATATGCAATTGATATTAAGTAAACTCTTTTTTTGGGTTGTACTTTAATCTATACTATAAAAGCAACAGATCGCAATACTAAAAAAGTATTACCTAATCGTCATTATGTTGAATCTCAATGCCACCAGCAGAACTATTCGGCTCATTAGATTGATCATTATGTGCTTGGACTTCAGAGTAGTTCTGATCATCCATCAATTGCTCAATATATGGTTGGGCTCTAAAGTAGTTTTGACCATCCATCAATTACTCAATATAAGGTCGCACATCTTCATCATCATTTTGTTTAATTACCAGTCGATTGCGACCTCTAGTTTGCATAGTTCCTTTTTCTAAAATGAAGAAATTATCTAGCTGCATTAAGTTATAATAGTACCAGATTAACTCCAACAGATCAGTAGGTCACATGCAAAACAAGAGGAAGCATCACCCTCATCTCAAGCTGTGAAAAACAAACAAGTAGCAATTTGTACATACAAACAAGGCCTTGCGATATAGATAGTTCTAGAGACAAGAGGTAGTGATGCACCAAAAAAAATAATTGTCCAGTGATAATATCACCTTAGCATATTCCAATGCAAGGCCACAACCAACAAAATATAAGTAAAAAAATCACAAAGAATTCACTCAAACATCTAATGATCAACCAATACAAACATAGAAAATACATAGATGACTAACATGCATCTTCTATAAAATGACTTAAATTGAAAGAAAATATTTATTTATTAAGATTTATTTATTAAAATTTCTGAACTATTGATCCAGAATACAGGAAAATAAAGTTAAATAACTATAAGAATAATTCCATATGAAAAAATATGTTATAAAAGTTAATAATTTGTTTAATTCAAAATCATCGCCATAGATTCGTCAATACTAAATTAGAAAATATATAAAGATTAACTCATTCGGTGAATTGAACTTTGACAAATCGAAGCCATAGACCTAACCAGTAAACAATTTTCATCAATCCAACACCCACACAATCAAATACTACATATTAGAGAGAGATACTTATTGACAGCTTGCGGTGTTGGTTGCGGATACGACTTGTATACTATGAGTTTTTTCCATTAAGTTTATTCCTAGCTTTTTTGTAGTCTTTAGGTAATTTCTAGACTCAATTAATTAGCAAATTTCAACCCAACTCCCATAAAATAAAATCAAAGATAAATAAAGACCCATACAATGAAACATCAAAGATATAGAAAGAAACTTACTTTTTTGGTTGAGAATGTGGTCGGCAATTTTGCTCTTAAATGTCTTACGAATGAGATTATATAATATGAGGGTTACTTTTTTGGTTGATAAAATGGCCGACGATTTTGCTCTTGAATGGCTTGCTCTTGAATAGCTTGCGGAGAGATTGTGTAAGGATTTTTCAATTAAAGTAAGGCAGAATGTCTAAATGGCACTTCTACTTGTCCGCCTTTGTCATTCCGGTCTCGATACTCTACAAAATTTCATCTAAACACTCGTAATTTTCAAAACACATTACTTTAAACTCCTCTGACCGTTGACCAAGCCTATGTGACAACTTCATGACTGAATTGGACACAATACGTGAATTTCACGCGCATAACGAGAGTAAACATAAAAAAATTATACTAAAAAGGATTAAAATAAGAAGAAGAAAATAAAAATAAAGGTAAAAGCAAGAGACAAAAAATATAAGAAAATTTAAAATATCTCTGTTCTTTCTTCTTCCTTCTTTCCCCCAGCCCCAGCCCCANGACACTACAAGATTTTTAATGGAGTTCTCCGGTGACCGGAGGAATTTTCCGGCGACAACAATGGAGTTGTTGGTGGTAAGGAGAAGAGATGGTGGAGTAAGGAAAAACTAAGATAAAGTCAATAGTTTAATTTCCTATGTGGCACTAGTAATGATGTGGCATCCTACGTGTAGGAGATTGTATTACACTCACAGTAGCCTCCTGTCATAAGCGTTTATTATACACGATTTGAACGAGTGTAAGTGTTCAATTGGCAAAATGTTAAGTTTGGGGACCGGGATGACAAAGCGGCACAAGTATAAGTACCATTAAGGATATTCTGCCTAAAAGTAATTCATGTCCTTTTTTTAGTCTTTAGGCTAAATTGAGAGATTTAGGCGAGAGATGATTTAACGAAAAATAAAAATTGGAGGCATTATTAAAAGTAAAAACAATAGCTTTACCGTATATTCTCTTGAATGGTCATTAAAAGTATACTAATTATCGGTTAATATTTATTGGCCGCTAATATTTGCCTCCCGTGAATAAATTGGCGGTAATTAGTTTATTGTTGCTAAATAATTGCCGCTAAATCCCTTTTTTATTGTAGTGAATAAGTGCAGCAAGTGCAGCATGAGTACGTAAATCAACGCGTACCCAATAAGTATCTAGCCTAACCTCAGAGAAGTAGTGATGAGGGGTCGACATCGACACTTATTAGTGGTCCTATAAGACAGATACAGTAAGAAATAAATAGATATGGGGGTGAGATAAACAAGTATGAATATGTGGTACAATCTTCCTCTCAATAATAAGCTCAAACTCTCGATCAGTTACCTCATCTACCGGAGTATGTAAATAAATAATGGACCTCACCAGATAGGTCATCATAATCCAAATCAGTAAAACTCCCAGATACACTAGCTTTTTGGACAAATAATAGGCACGATTCCATAGGGGTGAGATGTATCTATGATTATATACCAGTGTTTTACGGACCGAAGTGTTTTATAGACTGAATAACTGATGTATCTATGAATAATAGTATGATGATTCGTAAAATGAATTTATAGACTGAATAATAGATGTATCTATGATTAATATAGACTGAATTTATAGACTGAATGATCATACTTACATGAACTACAATGATGAACAACTTATAGGAACCCCCAAAACCTGGTGTCACAAGTGCATGAGCATTAACTAGGAACTATGATAAAATACAACAACTGTCTAGAATACAAATTAGACAGAAAAATGTAAATAACTCTAATGGAGACTCTGTGATGTGGACTCGTAACACGGGATGCAGCTCACCTAAGTCCCTGTGATAGCCGCGCCTTTGCGCCCATAAGATCACTAGACGTATAGGTACCTGCATAAAATGTGCAACAAGTGTATCATGAGTACGTAAATCAATGCATACCCACTAAGTCTCTAGTCTAAACTCGAAAAAGTAGTGACGAGAGGTCGGATTCGACACTTACTATGGCTAATAATAATGTACCAAAATTTTAGTGAAGCATGGATTATATAAATACAGCTGAAAACTCAATAACAAAAAATAAATAAACAGCTCTTTCACTGAGAGTAAATCCAAAATTTAATTTCCTTTATTTAACAAATTAATCTTTCAAGCCAAATAAACAATATCAGTTATAATTGGACTCCAATAATTTTTACGCACGAATTATGCCGAGGTCGTATGGCCCGATCCAACATACAAATATATAAATTGTTCACTACCGAGGGTCGAGCGGCACGAACCATAGATGCATCTATCTGCTACCGAGGCACTCGGCCCGCTCCACAAGAAAAAAAGATATATTAAAACAACCGATTCAAAATTATTAAGGGATAATATTCAAAGAAATACCAATTCTCATTAACGGTCAAGTGACCCGTCCAAAACTCAAGTAAATAAAGTTTAACCTTTTACAATTCCTTTATCAAGTTCCACTATAATTTAAGCAACTAAATTAACAAGTAGGGTGCAAACAACGCAAGTATAACATGATTTGGGTCCTAGACTACCCATACTTAAGCATAATTAGTAGCTACGTATGGACTCTCGTAACCTTGTGCATATCCAGCCCCCACAAATAGAAGCACGTAATTAATTGATTCGCCTATGGGGTTAATTCCCTCTTACAAGGTTAGAAAAGAGACTTACCTCGCTCTGAAGTTCCATAACCGGCTTCAAAGCTCTTCCAACAACTCAAATCGATGCTCGTCGCTCCAAAACTAGTCAATCAATGTGAAATTCCATAAATATACTCTAATACTCGTTGCAACCCAATTTATAATAATTTCCAACTCTGCCCGAAAAGTCGATAAAGTCACCATAAGGCCCACGTACCCGGATTTCGAAATTTTCCGAAGAAAGTCATTACCCATAACATTACGAACTCAAATATATAATTTATTCTCAATTTCATGCCCAAATTCGTGGTCAAAATTCAAAAATACCAATTTCTAGATTTTCTACTAAAACCCCAAATTTCTACCAATTTTCCATGAATTTCCATATTAAAATCTATATATAATCCAAATATTTAACTTGAAATTGGTGGTTACCTTGACTGTAATGACCTGACCGGTCGTTTTGAGCTCTAGCGCATCGTTCGGTGGTTTGAAGGCATGAGTAGCTTCACTTCGGGTATTCTGACTTGTACGTGTGGTCGGAATTGAATTTCGGGAAGTTCGGAATTGATTCGCTAAGAAAATTCTATTTTCAAAAGCTTTAAGTTAGAGGAATTGACTGATGTTGGACTTTTAAATAAACGATCTCGGAATTAGGATTTGAAGGTTCCAACAGGTTCGTATGATAATTTTGGACTTGGGCGTATGTTCAGATAGAATTTTGGATGACCCGGGAGCATTTCAGCACCTATTGTGGAAAGTTGGCATTTGGAAGGATTTCATAAATTTGGGGTGGAAGTGTATTTTAATGATCATTGATGTCCATTTGGGATTCCGAGTCTCGGAATAGCTCCGTATGGTAATTCTGGTATTGGGAGCGCGTTCGGATGTGGATTTGGAGGTCTATAGGTCATCTGGCGAAAGTTAGAAATTTGAAGGTTCTTGAGAAGTTTGAATGGGAGTTGACTTTTTGATATCAGGGTCGGAATCCAATTTAAGAAGTTGGAGTAGGTCTGTAATGTCGAATGTGAGATATGTGCAAAATTTGAGGTCAATCGAACGTGATTTGGTAGGTTTCAGCATCGAATGTAGAAGTTTGAAGTTTACGATTCATGATTTTGATGTTGTTTGATATGATTTGAGGCCTCAAGCAGGTCTGTGTTATGTTATGGGACTGGTTTGTGCGATTGGACGGGGTCCGCGGGGCCTTGGATATGTTAGCGGGTGGTTTCGGATCAATTGGAGTTGTTTTGGAACTGTTGTTACTAGTGTCTGGTTTCCTTATTCGCAAACGCGAAGGAAGTCCCACGTTTGCGAAGAGGAATTTTGGGGTTACTGAGATTTGGCCATCGCGAAAGTTATGGGAGAGACACGAACACGGTGAAGAACTTGAGAGACCTACGCGAACGCGAGTAGGAAGTCGCGAACGCGTAGAAGGAAGTGAGGACTGGGCTTGAGGCCGTTTGGCCTACGCGAACACGAGGCTAGGTATGCGAATGCGAAGCAGTGAGGGCAGAAGACTTTTCGAACGCGTCATGAGGAACACGAATGCGAAGAAGATTTTCTGGACCTGGGCTTGCTGAGCTTCGCGAACGCGAGGGGATTGCCGCGTTCGCGAAGAAGGGCAGTGCTAGGCAGTGTCATTTTAAAGACGGGATTTGGCCATTTTCCTTAATATTTTATTTTGGCTGGGCCATTTTTGGAGCTTTGAAAGAGTAGATTTCATCATCTATTATGAGGTAAGTGTTTCCCACCTATTGCAAGTTAAATACTTTGATTATATATGGATTTTAACATGGAAGTTCATGGGAAATTTGTAGAAATTGGGATTTTTGATAGAAGACCTAGAAATTGGTATTTTTGGATTTTGACCATGAATTTGGGCATGGAATTATGAATAAATTATATATTTGGGTTCATGAGGTTATGGACAAAGTTTATCTTCAAAAAAATTTGGAATATGGGCACGTGGGCCCGAGGGTGATTTTATCGACTTTTCGAACGGAGTTGGAAATTGTTGTAAATTGGATTATAATGAGTATTAGAGTATATATTTTATGAATTTGTTTGAAAGGCTTGGGAGCCGGTGATCGAGGCCAATCCTGCACTACTATTGAGTAGCGAGAGAGGGTCGAAACAGCTTTTACCCGATTAAGGCCAGGATCGATTTCCACAGGGAGCTAGAAGTTGGAGTCGGGTGTCTATCTAAAGTAGAGTTGTGTATGTGTTCCATATTACACTTCTAAACATTTTTGGGTTTTGATTTACTTCTAATTATATAAACTACAATGCGCAATTAAACTAGAATAAGCTAAGAGTAAACTATTGCGAGTTGTTCAAATGATTAAAAGGCACTAGGGTAGTGACTTTCGCCTAGGTGGTCAATTGACGGGTACTTGAGTCTAAGGCATGATTGATATATTTGGGGAGTATGATATAACCATTACATGATTTTACCCACTCTAAACCTCTCGGTGGTTCGAGTAATTTTGTCCGAATTGACTT